TACCGACCCTTCAGCTGGGTTCGGGTGACCGTTGAGCTCAGCGGCTATCCGGATAGCATCATCCGGACAGATCGCTGAGTACTTACCGTGATACTTTGTTCCTAAGCTCTGGGATATCAGTCCGAGCCGATTCTTGATCTAAAGTAGGTTGGCGTATGGTCGAATCTGGAAATCCCTACACCACACCCTGCTCTCCTCATCTCGCTTGCGCGGCGGGTCAGCGTGACGGTTGGGATCAATTCTACGGCAAACGGTTTGGATGATGTGCTTTCACTTACGCAGCATGCCATCTACTGGCGCAGTAACGCTCCCATTTTCATTCGAGAGCGCAGTGTGTAATCGTGCTTGATAGGATCGTTGAAGCTCTCGACAGGATTGTTCGTCGTCGCGAACGCGGGTGGCTTGTGAAATATCTGCCATCGGCAGAAACGGCTTGAAAGCCAAACTCTAGTGATGTACGTTTTGAAGGAAGCAAGCCCTGGATGTAAGAACCAATCGTCCAGTACGCGTGCTTGGGTAATGACGAACTCAGCGGTTGTTGTATAGTGTAAGTTGTTGAGGCCGCTTGCCACGGCAGCGTAGAGTGCAGGGTAGCCCCTTTGTCTTCTCGTAGACCTTGGCGGTAACGTGGTAGAAGCACATTAGAATAGTCAGATTGCTATCAACACCCACTACGCGTTGCACCGCGTTGTACTGAGCGTCGTCCGCGTCCCCCATCGCGTATCGGACCACCAACTGCTTTCCGGTGACGCATGCGTCCACTTGTCGAAAGCCATTAGCGCGTCCACGAAGTGCATCTCATTTTGTTGCGAAGAAACAAATATCGCAAGAAGGTGAAACCCTCTAGCTCGATCGGAGATGCCCACGACAAATACGGGGTAGTCGACTTGAGCTATCTTAAATGTTGCATCAATGTGCAGCACAAAAATTGCTGGTTCACGGTCCGTCTTACGGAGTAGCGCTTTCGTCGTGACTCCGACGAGAAAAGGGTCCACATCAGAGTCTTTGCCCAGATAAAAAAGGTCTCCCTTTTGTGTCGTTCCTCCACGTGAAGGTAAAAGCATCGAACTCTTGTTCGTTACCCGTGAAAGCTGATTCGCGTACCATATTGCGCAGGTCATCCAGGTAGTCATTCCCGCCCAACTGAGTGTTCTTGTAGTTATTTACAAACCGCTGAGCGACCTTTAGAGATGGCAGAGAGCTCGTCCATAGCTCAAACTTGCGCAGTAGACCACTGCGAATTCTAGCTGGCTTAAGACCTTGATCATCCATCTGCTTGGAGAAGTCCTTCATTGCTCGTGTTAGCCTCGGCGGACGAGGATGAGGGCGAGCCGTTACGTGGCCCTCGGTTTGGAAAACATCCACCGCGTTGTGCCGCCCGCACTGAAGCCGCTTGACCCGCCATGGGCAGCGCGCGTACGGCATGGCCAGTTGGTACTGGCGGCACGAGTAGAGTAGGATGCACTTCCTCATGTTCTGAGGGGAGGGTCGGTGCACACAGTACACTGGGCTTGGTCGCTTTCTGAGATTTTGAAGGCCTTGAACGTCTCTAAGAGAAGGTCAGCGTCCTCCTCCTTGAGACCGATGGCGAGCTCATACCAGGGAAGAGCAGGGGGCATTGTTAGCATTTTGGGGCGGTAAGTGTGCGGTTCTAACGGAGGAGGAGGTTTTTGTGTGAGCTCTTTAAGAGATCAAATGCAAATGTATGGGCTCTGAGCGTGTGGCTACCACCGATTGAATTTTGGGCGTTTAAAGTGATACTGTGAGTAGTTATCGGTTTTGTAAGGTGCTGTGAATATTATGCGTATAATGTTAGGTAGGTTTAAAGTGCTGGTAGTATAATCTGAGTGCTGCTGAAAAAATGAGACGGCGTCAAACAAAATGATGCTTACGAACCGCATCAACAAAATGATGCTTACGAGATAATCTATGGCCAATTGATTTTCGCACTTAACCGAAAGTGTGACATCTTTTGTAAACTACCATAAAAAACGTTAAAAGAACCCTTCTTCAATTACTTTTAACAAGGACTTTTAAATAACACTTGAATCTCTAAAATTGAAAAAATGTTGAGCTCACAACACTTCTAAATGTATCGTCATTTCGAGGGCTAAAATTGAGATATTATTTGAGCGACCACAACTTCTTCGGTTTTAAGCATTCTGTAGCTTATAAGGCTTTCGTTTAGAGTGCCTAAATCGCGATTCGTACTTAGGTTCGTAAGCATCATTTTGTCTAAATATGAGTGTCTTGAGCCTCAAGACACTCATATTTTCTCAGCGGCACTCAGACTATACTACCACCTCAAGTTGAGGTGGTTGAACCACCACCAGGGGAACCAGTGGTTCCCCTGGCCGCGCCCCTGGCTCTTCCTCTGCACTCGACACTGTCGACTTCGCCGGACGTCTGATCTTTTGCACTCGATGTCCCGTTGCCATCCATACGTTTCTCGTAGTGTTATTGGTCGAAACTATGTGAGAGATAACCTGCCATTTTTCAGCTTGCTAGCTGCCATATTTACGATACACATGGCTCCCACTTCTAAAGAGCCTCATGGACCTTGGCAAGCCATTAGAATAAAAATTTAGTATATCCTCTAATTTGCGCCCAGCGTACTGTTCATATTGCAACCATTCAGCACCAATTTAGTACAGCCGGGTTGATTTGGCCTTGTTGTCAGTCAGCAATGCTGACCGTCGGTCAGTGACCGACAACAAGGTGCACGCGGTCATCGGAGCATCGACCAAATGACAGGAAGCACTCGCATGCACGAAACCAGAGCGGAGCAGTAATTGATGTCTGGGTATTGCAGCTTCTGCCAATCCTGCGCATTGGACGTTCCTCTGAGGGCTTGTGCTAATAAATGGATGGAAGTTTCAAACGGCGAGCAATAACGCCAGATTTGGTGAGGTTGATCTCCACGAACAGTAGCACCTTAATTCGATAGAGTAACTTAAAAGTGGGGTGTATTTTTTACGTCGTTTGCATTTGGACGTCGAGGTGTAAATCTTCGTATACACCAGTCAGGTCCACCAGACTGGTGTATTCGAAGATTTACACCTCGATGTGTTGACGTGGTGACCAGACGTCGACAGCTCTCCCGACGGCCAACGGCCTGGTCCTGTCAAATTGAAGTTTGAGTAGGATTTGCAACCAGACCGTCCCTTCAACTTCGCACCGGAAGCGCTCTCGCGCAGCAAAACCAGCTCTCTACGGTAGAATTGATACATGTATTACGTAGATCACGTACAGACTCAGTCAGACTGCACTGGTACTGTACTGCACACTAATAGTGTAGTGTGACACTATTAATACATGTACTGTACATGTATTACCGTATTTGAGATCTCCTACTTCAGAGTGATCTCCTAATTCAGACTGCCCTCCAACCAATCACATATCGAGAATGGAACAGCGCACGTCTAGATTTCCTAATTCAGAGTACAAAAAAACATGCTAAACTGTAACTATCCACCAGCTCATTGCAAGAAATTCGCAATGGCGCGCACTCCCCTCACGCTCGGCCAACGGAAAGGGAGAACCCGTATTTCTGGCACTGGCAAGCCTCCCAAGAAGTTCAAGCGCGTTGCCATTTCATATGCCTACAAGCTTTCGGTTGTGGAGTTTTACGATGCCGTAGTGTCGAAGGACAAAATGTGGATACATAGAAAACTTCGTAGTAGAACTTGATAACTAAATTATTTTGTTTAAATAATACGTGATAGAGATGCGTCGGTACGTGTACAGATCTTGTGTATTTTGCAACAATACAACTTCAAAAATATAGGGTCTGAAGTAGGAGATCTCAAATACGGTACAGACTGTACATGCGAAACATAAACGCCTGCACCTGTTCTCCACGTGCGTTCGCTTAACCTTAACTGTAAAGGTTAAACGAGTCGCACAACACCGTACAGTTGAACTTGTCTCGCACTCAAAGTTTGAGGGCGAGAGAAACAGGTGCAAGCGCACCTGTCCTGTCAGGACACCTGACTCATGACTTCTGAGGCTTCAGTGTACTGTACGTGTAGACAAAACACAGCGATCTAGGTTTCTGTACTGTAATGCATGTAATACAGCAGCCTAATAATAGACACTTACAATATACAATTTGTAGGCAACAAGTTAAGTAGGTCGAGAGAAATGAGACACGTAGAGAATGAGAGATATCCCGACGCATGCGGAAGTTAAGCCACTTCTGTGGCAAGACGGCTCGCGAAACGCGTTCACATACATGTACGTACATAGGTACATGTACATACAAGTTCTGTAGGGAGGGAGGGCCTAGCCATAGGGCCCTCCAGAATTTGCACATAGGTAATGGCGATTCAGAGCGCACCTCCGGTTGATCCTAAAGAGACGAGCGTCGGCGTGAGCTACCTATACTGTACAGTGCTACAGTACTAAAGAGACGAGGCGGCGCCGAGGCTCGTCTCCTCGAGTCAACAGCTGCAACAAGTTGTTGCCAGCAACCACTTTGCCTGGCAAGTTGCCCGTGTATTACGTGTCTGGATTCTGGTGCAAGCGTTTGGTGGGGCACCTCCAATACTTCTGAGCTTGAGGGGCAACTTGAAGTCGAGGGAAAGAGCAGGACACCACCTGCACAAAAAGAGCTTGTCTTCGATTTGACAGTCCTACGTCCTTGCAGTTCAAGCGCTATTAATAGCCATGCGCTTGAACTGCAAGGGCGCCGCAAGGTACATACTACAGTACGTTGCAGTACGGCCCTGTTGACAACAGTAACAGCGTGGGCCTCGTGCTGTGTCGTGGTTAAAGGGAAACAGGGATCGACGTGTCTGCCTGTCGCTTCATCACGATCTTCACGAGGAACTCCATCTCGAATGATCTCTCTCGTCCTGACATCCAAGCCATGACGAAGAGATGGCGGCGATCATTAGCAAACACACATACTATTATAGTAGTACGTAGAACGTAAGTAGAACATGAGTTGTGGTGCAAAGTCTACATTAATCTCAATATACTGAAAATACTTAAGCAATTCACACATTCTTTGTGAGCTCGAACTCGATCACCTCGTCTAGCACGCTCATGCTGCAGCGGGCGATGTCACTCACGGCAGACTCGGCTATCGGAGCAGCGGTCATATCTCGCGGGGGTCTTGCGATGAAAGGCTGCACGGGCAGCTCGCAGGCCATGTGGAATGCCGACAGTTCGTCCTGAAATGAAGACAACTCCACCGAGTCGGGCGAGTACACTGGCGCCGGTCCCGGCTCCAATTTGGTTAACGGGGGCTGGGAGACGTGATCGACCACGAAGTGCGGTGGATGCACTGGCCGGTGGTGCGTGGGGCTTGAAAGGGCGTACGGATACGCCGGAAACGTACTCCGGATAAGCTCTGGGTGACGGTTCTTGGTGTGGCGCGTGAGGTTGCCGGCCGTACTAAAGGTCTTGGTACAGCCGGGCACGCGGCACATGTGGGTTCTCCGACCGGTGTGGATCTTGATGTGGTGGTCGAGCTTTTCTTGGCTGGGGAACGAGCGCTTGCAGCCATTAATGTCGCACTCGAAGGGCTTTAGCGACGCATGCAGGCGCTTATGGCGCGCCAGGTTGCCGGACGTGCTGAAGCGCCGGCTGCATTCCACCAGTGGGCACACGTACGGCTTCTCGCCAGTGTGCGTTTTCTTATGCTCGCTGAGCGTGAATTTGCGGTTGAAGCGTCTATCGCAGCCAGGCTCTTCGCACACGAACGGCCGGTCCTTAGCGGTGGGCGTGGATGTCGGCGCTGGGACTGTAGCGGCGACACCTTCGTAGGTGCTGAAGACCAGTGAACTGCTGGCGCGAGGTGAGAACGGCTGTGCAAGCAGCGACATCATGCTGGTGGTGGTGGTTGGCGGTGGTGTTGAACTGTCGACTCACGCTGGTCGTCCAGGGCTCGACGAGGTCAAACGAGAAATGATGATCCTATCCGAGCAGCTCGGTCTGAGTGGCAGTGGCATACAGCTGGCGGCAAGCGAGCAGCGTCCAACTTTTCGCTCGGATGGGTACGTCGCGTTCGTCTCCGAAGCTGGCCCGGCCACGCTGCCAACGAACCGAATGTCTGTGACTTGGCCGGCGTTGCGAAATACTTAACTCGCCCTGCTCCTGATGATACAGTACATGTAATTAATTTACAGAAAGTACTCACGCCCTACGCATTCTGGCGGTGAAAGTAGCGACGATAGCCTGAGAAATTTTGCAAAAGACCGTCGTGGAAAAGGCCAATCAATATGTGGGAGTGAATGTTCCATAAGACTATGCATCGAACGCGGGCCCCTGACCGAGCGGGGCCACTCGGATGTACTACAACTCACTCAGAGAACTTTCCTGAGAGTTTCAGTATGAAGCGGTGTCAAAGACACTCAACTTCAACCTCGGTTTGCTCGTGCGGCGCCGGTGTGGGAGACTGGGCATGCGGCGTTAAACCGCGGCAATAAGTGCGCTCCTTGGCCTCAGGTTCAGTCCACCACCCGGAGCCATCATCATCGCGAGTGTCCCGCAAAGCCTGGGCCCAACTTGAGTTTGGACTCCAAACTCCGACCGTGGAGCTCCACGGTCGGTGGAAGCGGACTAGTACACGAAGCAGAACCCCAAGTACATGTATCCGATTCGACAGGTTTTAGAGAAACGGCAGATGGACGAGTATTAGACATGGTTAATCAAAGTATTGGTAGGACACTCGCGCGTTCGCACTCGTCTGCGGACTTAGCGACGGCGCGGCGGGGGGCGCTGCTTCGCGGCCTGCCCCACCCCCTTGCGCCTAACGCTTAGGCCAGGCGCGGTGTCTGGATGAGATTGTAACTTCCTTTTTGGTATAACTACTCGGGCTACGCGCCGACCATTGCAGCCCACCGCTTCACTGCGGGTGCAAACGGTCTCTCTCAGCCCTCATTTGGCATGATTTTCTCGAAACCTTCAAGTGCACTCGACGTTCTTCCGGTTGTACCGGTATATCCATGAATTCTGTCCAGTTTTTTTTATTTATTTTTGAAAATTTAACTGTACTCGTCTTCCCAATTTTGTACTCGGGATTACATGTAGTCTCTTTTCAGTGACCGCCTACCATCCGTTTGAGACCGCTTATTTCGTCGCGCTCTGGGGGAGTACGCACTGATTCCTGATATCGAAGGCCAAGCCGCAGGATTCGTTCTTGAGTGATGGTCGCTCCTCGGTTGCTCCGAGTGGTGACCATGACGATGAAGGAAGTAGTCGTAGCAACGCTTAGTTGCGGGGACTGAAAAGTCCAGCAGGGAAAAAAGCCGAGTGCTGCTGCTTGCTCTTGACGGCGCAAGCTGTCGAGTGGGCAGCAGTACACGAAAAAAACCGGTAATATATTCGTAGGATTAGCAGTAGGATGGGGCTGGCGGCTCGCCAGTCAATGGTCCATCGAAGTCCGGCTTCTGGACGCGAGCATCGCGTCCTGGAGGCATCTGAGCCTCAGGTTGGAGCTGGACGCAGTCCTGGTTCCTTCTCCACACTTGACACTCCCACTTGTTCTTGTCGAAGCTCAGCTTCAACATAGAGCTCACCACGATGGCATGGCCTTGGCGTCTTCTAGCTGCGCTGCAGCACGACGCTTCGTCCTTGGCAGCGCTCTTCTTACTTCTTGTCCTTCGCATGCATGAACGGATAGTAGTAGCTTGCATTCACGCACGGCGATGATGTTTGGCTCCCACTGAACGAACTGAGCCTTGCTGACGGTGGATGCGCAGCACCTTCATCCCATTACGGCAATGTTCGAGCTTGTCCTTCGGCAATGGCTTCGCCATCGCGTCGGCGATCATGTCGTCGGTGCCAACATGGCGAATCCGTTGCTTCTCGTCCTCCACGAGGTGGCGCACCAAGTGGAACTTGTTCATAATGTGCTTGTTCTTGCTGTGCTTGCCAAGCTTGGCTGTATGGTAGATGCACGAGTTGTTATCGCCGATGATCTCCGGAGTCGCAAAGTCCCAGCATAGTTCTCCACAGAGTCCACGTGGCCACTGTAGATCTCTAGTACCTTCTTTCATGGCAATATACTATGCTTCCGTTGTGCTCTGTGCGTTGATCTCTTGCTTTCTTGATCCGTACGAAACCTCGTTACCATTGACGAACGTCACGAACCCGCTAACACTCTTTTGGTCATCAGGGTTATTAGAGTAATCAGCATCGGTGTAACACGTCAGCTTGACGTCGTTCCCAGTAACAATGCCCATCACTAAGCCGTCGTCTTGAGTACCACTCAGGTAGCGTAGCATCCTCTTTCTCATAGCGTAGTGTGTGTGGTCGAAGCAGGACGGGTACTTGCTGAGATTACGCACAGCGGGCGCAATGTCCAGCCTTGAGGCTGAGACCAGATATTGTAGTGCACCAACGAGCTCTTGGTACGAGGGCGGGGGGTCATGCTTAGCATCTTTGACCACCTCATCGCGCAGCGCTTCCGGTGTTGCAACCGCATTGCAACCCTCCATGTGGAATCGCTTCAGCACCTCTGTAATATGTTGCCGCTGGCAAAATACCGCATGTCGACGCTCGCTGTCGATCAGAATCTACACGCCTAGTAGATACTTGACTGGTCCGAGAGATCTGAGTTCATACTTCTCACTGAGTTGCTTAGCAACCTTAGCGCAAAGGTCCCTAGGGCCGAGGAGCAGTAGGACACCGTGAGCAACATGGTGACTTCTCCTCCCACTTTCCTGGCGTAGGGTCCGTAGTCAGAGTCGAGGCGCTCGAGGCCGATCTTCATCAGGAGCTTGTGTAATGTCTTTATCCAAACGCGAGGCGCTTGCTTTAGCCCATACAGACTCTTCTGTAGTTTGCATACGTAGCGCGTAGAGTCTTCCCCAAAACCTGGAGGCTGCTACATGTAGACCTCCTCGTCGAGATCACCGTACCGGAACGCGGTCTTGACGTCGAACTGCAAGATGGCCCATCCGCGTTGCAACGCGTATACGATCACGCATCTGATCGTCTCAAACCTGATAACAGGTGTGTATGTTTCACTGTAGTCGATGCCCATGCGTTGTAGAAAGCCTCTGATCACTAGTCGAGCCTTATATCGCTTGATTCGGCCCGTAGAGTCTCTCTTGAGCGCGTAAACCCACTTACCCGAAATGACACGCTTACCCTTGACCTCCGTGCGTCGCACGAGCACCCAAGTTTCGTGCTGCTGCTGTGAGTCCATCTCGACTTGCATCGCCGCTTTCCACTCCCACTTCTTTGACCTTGCCGCATGCTTGTGACTAATGGGGATCTGAACATCCTCGACGTTCTGCTTCGTCACATTTGTCACTACGTAGTCCTTGAGTCGGGCAGATGGTTGTCGCTTCCGCTTCGGTCGCGAGGTAGCTGCACTGTCGTCTGGCGACGAATTCTGCTTCGTGCATGGCTCCCAGTTCTCGTCTTTGTGAGCGTCACGTCGACTGTCCTTGGTCTTCGAGGCTCCCACTCGATCTGCACACGCGTTGGCCTTCTTCTTGCCCTTGGTGTTCTTCCGCTTGGAACCTCCCACCGAAGTTGCTGGCTTCTTAGCGTCCTCGCTTGGTAGCTGCGGGTCACCACTTCGAGTCGCAGACTTGGCTTCAACCTTAACACCTTGGTCCTGGCTCTCACCAGCAGTGGCCAGCTTCGCCATCTCCGCTGCTCGCATTTCTGCAAGCTCTGCAGGCAGCTGCAGGTACGTAGACATCATCGTCAGGATTGGCACGATCGGGATCTCCACAGGTAAGTCGTAGTCTTCGTAAGCGTAGGTGTTTGCAAAACGTTGCTCAATATACACAGTGTTCACCGTGTACTTCTCATGTGCCTTCATGTTTCCATCTCTGCACGTCGTCACTGATCCCGTGCGCAGGCTCAGCAGTTTGTAGCCCTTGATCCTATCGCTGTAGCCAAGTAGCACATCTGCGTCCTTGGGGTGAGCTTCTCCTTTCTCTGCCGAGAGTCGTCAGATTGTGCGCGTGCACCAAGCACCTTCACGTGCGCAGTACGCTGAGGTCTGGCCGCTCTCCGTACAGGGCCTCGTACGGGGACTGCTGGTACTTCAACACCGGCGTCGGCATCTTGTTGAGCGTCTCGATTGCATGTAGGAAGGCTTCTCCCTGTGGTGTAGTGATTTCTCCGTGGTTGCGGATTATCACCCGTCGACAAAGACGTGACACCGCCCAAGTTGTTCAAGCGACGAACCCTCGGTCGGGTGATGTACGGAGACGCCAAGGTGCAAGGGACTCGACGGCGTCACCTCCGAGTTTTCAACAAGTATCGGATACGGCCCTATGTCACTGAATCCAGGCTGTCCTTATTATCAATAATGGACTGGCCGGATTCGCATTCAGCGGACCATCTACGGTACGAACCCTCAGTGGCGGTTGGGATGAGTTCGCGGAATACTCAGCGACCTTTGGAAGACACGTTCACCGTCTGGGACAGGGCGCGGACCGTTAAAGATGCTCATGCGACAGTGCAGACGACGCTTGGCATGCAAGAAGATCCATAACGGATCATTGTTCATTTGATATTTGTATACTTGATTAGGACTTCTTATTAGGAATAGACCCGAAAGGGTAAGCTTAAATACAGAACAGAATTTCCACTCAAGCACACAGAGCGACGTCCGGCTTCAAGGTAAGCGTCAGGTCAAGCTTGTTTGAGTGTGTTATGCCTGTCGGTGAACTCGAAGCTCTGTAGCGAGGGTTCATCCGGCAAGGCCAAGAGACTTTGTGTATTGGCCGATTATTATCGGGAGGTTTTACGTGACGGCTTATTGTTGCCTATTTGCACGACTGGGAGTGCTTGAATTGCTTCCCTTTTATTTCTTCCAGCCGAGTGTTGAACACTCGGTGATCTCGTAAAAGGCTTACCCGTGCCTGGTACCC